AACTGCAAATCACACGCAAAGAAACCTTGGACGGTTTCTGTTGAAACACAAAGGTTGTCCTTCGTCTGCTTCCTGAAAACTGGGGGCTAAAATTAAAGATATTTACCCCGTCAGGGGAGAGGGGGAAAAACAAACAAGCAAACAAAACCCAACCAACACCCAGTGGAACACTTGTATTTATGGGTCTCCACCAGCTTGCCCCATCACCCATCACTGAGCTGTTGCACATGAACAGTGCTCCACCGCGACGGTGTGTGCCACTAACCTGGTAACGTTTAGCAAGGCAACGCTGGTGTTGGGGAGCGTGTCCTGGCTCCTGTCTTTAACAGCAGGCGTTACAGAGCTCTTGCTGGCTCTGCTCACTGGATTGCTCACGACTGCACTAAGAAATACACGTATTTACATGCTCAGTGTGAGGAATATTCAGTAGCCACAGCACTGACTGTCCACTGTAAATAGCTGCCATATAGACCACAGGGTATGGTGACATTTCCTACAGCCAGAGGACAGGAGACAGGTACTTCCCTTCTTGTGGGGACTGGAACGTGCCTCATTATCAGTAGCAGGACATGGCGGGAGACTGACCGAAAGACCTGTCATGGCGCAGCAACTGGCCTCAAAGAAACTCAGCACAAACAGCTGGAAAAAAATAAATACTGGAACTCATTTGTGTGCAGTGCCAGTCAGCCAGCAGCCAAAGATGGAGAACAAACACATGTACGTTTACAAAAGCGCTGGGCACAAGAAGTGAACACGCAGCCCTGGCCCGAGGCTGTGATCAGACCCCAAGAGCTGCAAGATCCCCCCGGTGCAGGCTCCCAGGAGTGCGTGCAGGAGATACATGGAATTTTACACACGTACAGTTATTTTTTTTCCCTTTTTTTTTTTCTTAAACAAATAAACTTTTCTGTGCTTCTCAAACTTCCCTGATTTTACCGCTGTGATTTTACTGCTGTCATGCTTCTGTCCCAAAACACATTAAAACCGCAGTGAGCTATTGGCTCATTTTCACACATCTTCCCTGCAGGGATGGGAATCATAGTCAAGATCAAGACAGGGGTTTTTACCATTTAATGAATTTAAAAGTGAAGACAATTAAGCAATCTTTTAAAACCTTGGAATGAAAGTGTTTTAAACCTATTTACCTATACATTTTGTAACAATACCAGCCTAGTTCTAATACTTCCAAAAAATATATATAACTAATTTACTTACTCTGAGGATCGCAGCCAGAAAACCCGAGATGGTTCCAGAGACTACAGTGTTCGTCACTCTCCTTTCTGCAAGGTCAACGCTACTGTCAATCCTAAGGTACTCTGCGAGCCTGTAAATCACGTACAAGACTTGCCCCCTCAGGACTGGAGTGTTTGGTTTGGGTTTTTGTTAATATATTACTATGCCTCGTCCACATTTCCTATCAGAGTTGGGAGGACACAAAGGCAGCTGCCATCTTTCAGTATCTCGTGACTGAGAGTTTAGTGCCAGAGGCCGTCTCAAGCGCGGAGCCAGAGGGATGCTAGAGGTGTGTTTCCCTGCGTGGCAAACAGTCTCAGCTGAGCAATTACAGGCCGTGCTGGAAACAGCCACTGGCAGAGGTTATTTCTGCTCAATCCTGTCTGCCTCCCAGGAAGTTTTTTTAAAAGAAAAATCTCGAGATTTGCTGATGCAAATAAAAATAAATACAGTATTTAATAAAATAAAAAGTAAGGCCTCTTATTACAGGAGCTGTCTTTAAAAAGCCAGTGCCAGCAATATTCTGTACACTGATTAAAAAAAAGATGCTACCATTTGATTTTCCTATCTGTCACCTTCTGGGAAGTTGTGGTGGTGTGTGGTGGTTTTTTTTTTTAAAGTAGAGATGCTGAAATACACGTAAAGAAAAGAAATACAAAAACCCCCAATCAAATAGTGTAGTCTGTCAACATAAGTATTTATATTGTATGTCCAGCAAACATGCACCAGAAAGAACTGCTTTCCTTTTAAAGGACGGCTGTCTGTTCTTTTGTGGGTAGGAAAAAATAAAACCTATACTGGAAACAGAAACTGACACTTGTTTCTTTGCTTCTTACATGGAATACAGACGTTTCATTCAGATGAATGCTTTACAAATCCAGGGTAGCCCCTCTCAAGCCCAAATTACTCTCTTTCTCAAAAAAGTCTCTCCCCCAGATAGATAGCTTGAGCTGACAGAGAAAAATGGGACCTCGCAAAAGAAACAATCTTCTGAAGAGAACAGAATCAGTTCAGTTGGAAAGGATCTTTAGGATCATGGAGTCCAACCATAAACCCAACAATGCCAAGTCCACCTCTAAACCACGTCCCTAAGTGCCACATCTACACGCCTTTTAAACCCCTCCAGGGATGGTGACTCAACCAGTTCCCTGGGCAGCCTGTTCCAACGCTTGACAGC